CGACTCGGTTCGTTTTGGGAGACTCGTGTCGTGCGTGAGCATGCCGAGTAGTGACGAAATATTCCGAACATCTTCCTAAGATAGGTATTAGAATGATCGGCATTGCAGAATAGTCGGCAATTCGAAAACCGATTAGTCGGCTAGTCGGTTAGTCGGCAAATACTATAGTCGCCCCATCTCTAATATACACACATCAAAAGTGTCTAGGGATCAACATATATTTTTGCAATAACTTTTCTCCTGATTGATATTAATTAAAATTTTCTTTAAGGATTCATCAAATAAAGTGTTTTCGTTTGTCACAGTAACGATAAACCAAGTCACCTTTGCATTAATAAAGAAATTTGCCATTTTCCTAATAAAGGGATTTTTGACATTTGAACCACTAACACAAAAGTTCGAAAAAAAGACTGAAATAACAGTTTTCTCTAAAATTTTATTGGGTAACTTAAACAATTAATAATCCGTATTTCTACCGCGAACACTAACAACACAAGAACATCGGTTTGGCATACTCAAAATGAGTTCATCCAAATCACGCTGTGGAATGGCCGCCCATGTTCGTTGCAACAACAAAAAAAGGTCTTCTTGCGACTGGATACCCTCCATATTCGGCAGAGCTCTTCTCTGTAGCATATCCCATGCATGCTCAATCGGGTTCAAGTCTGGCGACTGAGCAGGCCAGAGCAGGACATTGATGTTAGCTGCGGCGAGAGTCTGTCTTACAACTCTTGCGGTGTGCGGTCGTGCATTATCATGCATTAACTGAAATAAGGGACCGATTTGCACTTGTAGGGGAACGATGACGTCTGATACAATCGTCTCAGCATAAATTTGAGCGTTGAGGTTGCCTCTGATCCAAATCAACTCAGTTCTTCCGCCGATCCAAATACCCGCCCATACCATGATGGTTCCACCACTATAAGGATGGACTTCCTGGCAGGATTTTAATCGCTGTTGGCGTCCAGGGGTTCTCCAGTGTCGTATACGTCTTGTATCCGGTCTCATACCAAAACGAGACTCATCAGAAAAGCACACGAAACGCCATTGTTCTTCTGCCCAATTTCTGTGTTCAAGAGCCCATTGATATCGAATCCTACGATTGTGCATTGCTATAGGTGGTACCCGTAGCGGTCTTTGGGAATGAAGGTTCACTTCATGCAAGCGGTTTCTGACTGTTTGGTCGCTAATTAAGTTCCCTGAAGAGTGATGAAGCCTCACGGCTAACATCATGGCGGTTATTGTTGGAGCTCTTCGAGTTAAGATTTGAATGTATCGGTCTTGTCTCCGTGTGGTGCAGCGATACCGTCCTCCATGGCGCTCAGCCACGGTACCAGTGCTTCGGTATCGTGTCCAAAGTCGACTGATAACACTCTGACTTGTATTCAGAGCTAAAGCCACAGTACGTTGCCGGGAACCAGCTTCTATCATTCCCACGGCTCTGAGCATTTCTTCCCTGCTTAAATGACGTCGCCGCTCCATAATAACGTTGGTTTTAATCAGTAGTAGGGAAACAGTAGCACTAATAATGTCTTCAATGCGTTGTATGTTTTTATAGGGAAAATATTGACAGCTGATTTTCATCTTTTACTCGAATTTGATTCACAGTTCCTGATTCAAATTATGAAATGCACCAAAAAGGATCCATATAAATTTATAAAATCATAAATTTATTACAAAGCCACATCTCAATCTCAAGAAATCCGCATAAAAATGCTTGATCCCTAGACACTTTTGATGTGTGTATATATATGTGTGTGTGGGTACAAATATTTAAATTGGACGTAGTTACGCGAAAACGTTCCAACCCACAAGTCACTCGAAAATGAGTTACCATAACCAGGGTACTATTTTTGACATATTACCATTGAGGTTACATGCATGTTACATCATGTGCACAAAAAGATGCTAGTATTTTTAGGTCTATCTGACCCGCTACCTAGAGGATCACTCCTTGATTAATGATCGTCAATATGGTTTTAGACCGAAACGATCGACGGGTGATCTTCTAGCGTACTTAACTCATATCTGGGGTGAGGCTATCGACAAGCGTGGCGAGTCGTTGGCTATCAGCCTTGACATTGCCAAGGCGTTTGACAGGGTCTGGCACAAAAGCCTTCTCTCCAAGCTTCCGGCATACGGTCTGCCAGCCCGGTTCTGTTCTTGGGTAGCTGACTTCCTGCATGAGCGTAGAATTCGTGTCCTTACGGATGGTAGCAGTTCGCGGTTCATGTCAGTGAATGCCGGCGTTCCCCAGGGCTCCGTCCTATCCCCCACTCTCTTTCTGCTGCATATCAATGACTTAATTCCTCTTGGGAATATTCATTGCTATGCAGACGATAGTACAGTGCATGCGGGGTATCTCGGACGAGCAGCGGCTGGGCTGGCGGTAACCAAGGAGAAACGCGAGAATCTTGTCATTGAACTCAATCAGGCTTTGGACCACATTTCCGAATGGGGTACCAGGAACTTGGTTGAGTTCAATGCCAAAAAAACTCAGGCTTGCGCTTTCACGGCAAAAACATCGTCATTCCTTCCCCTTCCATCTCTTCAGGGCACAACACTACCGCTGCAGAGCAACATTTCCATGCTCGGTATGGAAGTTCGCTCAGACCTGAATCCAAAGAACTACATCGAAACCGTGATCAAAACAGCTTCACGCAAACTCGGAGTCCTGAACAAGGTGCGGCGTTTTTTCACGCCCGATCAACTGTGCTTGTTGTACAAAACGCAAGTGCGGTCCTGCGTGGAATATTGCTCGCACCTCTGGGATGGCTCCGCCAAGTACTTGCTCGATGCTTTGGATAGGTTACAGCGACGCGCGATCCGCATCATAGGCGATGAGGAGGTGACTAAACACCTTGAGCCTCTTCAATTACGCCGTGACGTGGCGTCACTAAGCGCGTTCTATCGTCTGTACCATGGCGAGTGTTCTGAGGAGTTATTCTCTCTTATCCCACCTTCTCCTTTCCTTCAGAGGACTTCAGAGGACCACGCGCGCTGGCCTACGTTGTCATCGTCTAACTGTGGCCACAATTCCAACACGTACAAAGAAATTTGGTGACTCATTTCTTTGTCGCACTATCCGTAAATGGAATGCACTGCCCGCTCACGTGTTCCCTCCCTCTTACAACCTGGGATCCTTTAAAAGAGGCGTGAAGAAGCAACATGCAGGTCGGCAGGGTGAAGATGGCTGGTGTGGCAGGTAAAACTGCTGTATCAGCTATCGTCACGTCTGGACTTCACCTTCACTTAACATCAGGTGGGGTGGAGTCATTTGCCGGACCTATCTATAAAAAAAAAAAAAAAAAAAAAAAAGGTTAGTTTCATCAATAAAGTTTGACCCAAATGTTCCAACCCACCATTATACTCAAAATAAAGTAAAAACATTACATGCATACTGAAACATATTGTTAAAAACTCTTAATAGAATTACATATTGTTGTAATGTTCCACTTGTTTTGGAACATTATACTAAATCCATAAAACGCACATTTTATTGTTTCTTAAATGATCCATGCGGGTTGGAACGTTTTTGCAAAATCTTTATACATATTTTATTTCTGCAAAAATGTTCCATGTAATTTGAAAACTTTTAGATTAATCCATACTGTTTTTTTTTAAGCTGCGAAGACGGTTCTAAAAAAATTGGAACGTTTTATTATCATTCAATAACCAGTTTGGCATTCCACAGTAAAACTAATAGTATTTGCCTGAAATAATTACAGGGAAAAAGTGTACCGCTAAAACACAAAATTGCGTTTATCTCAAAATGGGGTCGCTGTGGGTTGGAACATTTTCGCGTAACTACGTCCAATTTATTTTATGTTTTCATTGATAAACAAACACGACGAATTTCCCAATATCTTTCCGAAACCTGAAGATTTTTTGATAGAAAAAAATGAACATACGGCGGATTTCAATGGCGTAGAATTAATAGACATAAAATTTATTATTTGTCAATGCGATACTGTTTTACTAACTTGAGCGGTATGCATTTCACTGTGAAATGTGAAAGATGTTATGCATTATTTGTCAATAATCAATTTTTATTGATTATTGACAAATTACGTCGTGTAATCAATTAAAAAACCTATTCCAATAGTTAACATCAAGTAAACATGTAAGTTAGCACTAGATTCATGTATTTTGTGACGGGTATTGTTCATTGTTTACCAATGAGTCACCATGACACTAATCGTAACGCGTAACTCGTAACGCATTCGCGTGCCTAAATAAGTTTCACTTAAAACAAAACAACTTTTATCAACGTCGGTTGTTAGACTGACCGAACTGATGTGACTTTTACGTCTAGTCTACCATTGGCCATCAACGATATTAAATACCCTAGATACACCAACACGAACAAAATCGTGCCCGAAACCTGTCCAAAACGTACATTGGACGATCCACGGAGCTCCGTAAGATGATAGCATAGTTAAAAACAATATAAGGCATTGTTTAAACATTGAAAGTCACCTTTAATTCATTCTGTATAAGGCCTTAATTCAAACGCATGGTCAAAGAGTTATGACAGTTCGAAATACAAGCTCGTAAAATTTTTCGACTTATATGCGGTAGAATATAGACCTTATTTCTTTGACTTTACGCATTATATTGCTAACAACGCATTCAGAATTCTGAATGCGTTGTTAGCAATATAGCAGGTACGGACCGCGAGGAAAAGAGACGGCTATATAACCGACCATGGATTTGAATATCACAAATATTTTCTATTATATCAGTTTATAGTAGGTATGTGAACAAAATTTGCTTCAAATGCGTTAAATTAACAAACGTTGATTATTTTTTGGGAATTTTTTCACGGAGCACCTCGGCAACTTGACTTTTCAACATTCCGCGCGTGATTGTGAACCAAGAAGTGCTTGAGTGGATTTCAAGCACTTCTTGAATGGGACAAACTTTGAGCGCACGTGGTGTATCTAGGGTATTTAACGTCGTTGTTGGCCATATAAGTATAATACTGAAATAAAACAAAACTTGGAAAGGAGATAAAATACGTTTATTTCTTAAAATTTGTCAATTAATCAGATACGGATATCCGGAACAACCAATATCTCTCGGGAAAGGGAACAGTTCCCACATTCTATTTTATATAGTATGCCATATACACAACAAAAGTTATTATATAAATATAATTATGTACTTATAGCGTAAAAACTAATTTACATTATTTAGACACGAAGTACCTACCTACCTATTAGCATTTTAAATGCTTTTTAATCTATTAATGAATCAATCGCATCCCACGAAGTGTTCAATAAGCACATTCGAATTGTACACGATATATTTTATACATCCTTTTTTATACACATGCTCCTTTATCATAGATTTATATTATATTTAAATAGGTGTGAAGAATGGTTGTTCCTTCGATACACATACAAATTTTATGTTCTCTCTTGTATAGAAGGTATCGGTTTTCTAAGAGACAAGACATGAGTGACACTTCCGTTAAACATAAAAATATGTAAGCATATATTTTTACATGGGTATACTATACATACATAAAAATATTATTTTAAATTGTTGAAGTTGAAGAAAACCTGAATCGATTGAAATTTATACATTAATTAAAATATATTTATGGAAAGTGGCAGGAGCGTAAATTATAGCTTGACAAATGATAAAATCAGTATTTTGCCTTATATACCCAATAAACGATTTGATCCTAACAAATAAAATAAGAATGTCTTCCCAAAATTTATTTATTAAGTGCTACAAAGAAAAGCTCGTGTTTATTGTAACAAAAAAATCATTTTTTTAACTTAGTTTTATGTAAATTACAGGACTGGATAATGTATTATTAATAGGACTTTAGGGTTGGACTTCGAATCGAGTCGCCTGAATCTGAGGAAACTGAATATGTAGAGGGCTCAAGGAAGCTCCATAAGATCACCCTAAAACAATTTCGGCTGTCGATCGCCTTTAAATATTTTTAATTATTTTTTAAAGTTCATATTTGACGTACTGTGATTGCGTGAATCAAAACGTAGTTTCTATTTTAGGTTATGATTTTAAAACTTTTGAAGTACAAAAACGCATGAAACGAAACGCCAATCCGCCATTTTGATTGTAGTTTTGACATTTGACAGCGTCAAAGTTATAAAAAAACTACGCATATCCGGCACCCGAAATTTATGGGGGGTGACTACCAACCACCTCAACCAACCCCCCCCCCCCCCCCTACCCCCCACTACCCCTAAAAAGGCGACTCGATTCGAAATTTTTACCGGACTTTAACGAAAATACCAGATTATTTCTTGTCTGTATTGTTACATTAGAATTCTATTCCTAGGTATCTGATGCGTTTCAATTGCGAACAAAGGATATTTCTTCAAACTTCAACAAGCCCATTATGAAGGAGCAAAACCCAGACTGAAACTAAAAGCCTCTCACAAATTCAATACAAATACAATAATAAATGTTTAAATGCTAAAGTACACACTACGAGCTTCGTGTTCACTGAACTATAACTCCCAGACACACCTATCGGCACACCTAGCTTCTTAAGTTTTGTTTTGACGGGCCCTAGCGAAAATTAAAGTTACATTGAGCAAAAAGTTTTTACGCAAATTTGAAGCTGATTTATTATCCATCTATTTTGTTTTTTTAGATAGGCAAAGGGAACAATGCCCATACAGCCTAGTCTTCAGATTTATTATTCTTCTTTTTTTTACATTAGAATGTCGGTGTGAAGCATTCTAATGTTTCTTGGGACTGTTTGGCACGAAATGTATCGAGTTGGCTTTTCCGATAAGCTTCTGTGAGGTAGTCAACACTACAATAAAGTTCTCACGTCCACTTGACCGGAATAGCGTACATTTTAAATATTCCACTAATTCTTCAGTTGCGCAGACGGTTATAACACAAAATCACACCAATTTTATTTCACAATGTCTACTATGAACGAATTTAAGAATAATTAAAATAGGACGCCAACCGCACTCGATGAAATCCCGTCAACAACTCGCGTTTTTTTTATTTATTATTATTGCTCAGTATAACATATATTTTTGCTACAGAGCGATTTGCCTTAGGTGGGCCGATAGAAGTGTCTAGAAATGTATGTATATAACATAGCGTTACTACAAGTTAAACGTATTAGTTTACACTTTCTTTCATTAATTATTATTATTGTATTTCTATATAGATAATTATGTATATAATAATAATATTTTTTTGTACACCTAAACCGAGTTAATGTTAAGTGAAAGTGGACTCTTAACTAAATCACAAGGGTTTAAAAACAGCTAATTATTGCTGGCTTGTCAAATGTTAGGTTTATTCAAAATCTTAAAAAAAAAATGTCAACTAAATCCTTCTTCTTCTAAGTTTTATCAATTCAGAAACCACAATTATGAATGTAATGTAATTAAAATGTCTGAATTTCATTAGGTAAAATAATATAATCTCCTCAAGCCAGTTTTTAATAAGTGTCCAACATATTTGATCGATACAACATTGTATAAATAAAGCTTAAAATCCAACTTACTAGCTAATGACGTACCCACAAGGCATGTGCTTAGAGTTTCTTCCATAAATACAGCATTTTCTAGAAATCTTTTTCTTCTATACTCATAAATAGCCTTATTTGTTATAAAATTTTATGCAGTTTTGAACGCAGCAGTTTTTGAAGCTCTAGATCACTATAGTTCTTTCTTTCAATTTGACGAAGACAAATAATGTTTTCGAAAAGTCCGTATTTGCAAAGTGATCTTCCTGTTAGAAGAGTTCCAAATATTGTTAAATCTTATTTTCTCCGCTAAAGTCCAATTAGTATTTTCCAAAAGACATGCGTAAACCATACTCGGCCATTTTATATTTTGTATACCATCTAGAATAAAATAGGAATATTACAGAAGTATTGTACACGTCCGAAATGGAGTTCCATTTCGTGGAAAAAAGGAGGATAATTTTCCTTTTGAACAAGTTTTCTATCAAAAGTTATAATTTAGTAGAGATGCAAGCCAATAAAAATGTGTTGTAAATTTATGCAGTGGTGTCTCCTGATTCCTTAAATAATAAATAAATATACAGGGTGTAAAAAAACCTATGACAAAGACTTAAACTACGCATTCTGTACACCCAAACAAGTCATATAACAAAATATTGTAAGTGGGAAAATTTTGTTTTTTTTAAGTGAAAAAAAAATTTTTTTTCCAGTACGCAATGTATAGCGCGGCGCGCTACTGTGGCGCTACGCAAAGAATGTGCCTGTGTGTATAAGTGTGCGTGTGTGTAAGTGCGTCGATAAAAAAGTTTGTAAATAACGTTTTGAAAATATTAATGTATAAATCTTGAAAAAAATATTTTGGCTTTGACCTTCAAGATCTCCATAACCATAAATTTCCCAGGTATGGTCCAGAAGAAAAAAATGATCGTCATGATGTGGAAAATACGTGGCCTTCGACTTCGTTATAGGTTTTTCTACACCATGTATAATAAAAAATCCTAGTCTCTAGGACGACTTTCTCAGGGCTACTTGAAAGAAAACTATAAAAAAAAATATGTGTGCGCGTCTCGGGACGCACAACAGAAGCGACATCGTAAAGTAATCTAAGCGGCGATGCGGATTAGAGTGAGAGAGAAGGAGTCTGCCTACCGCTGCAGTATTCGTGAGGAAGGGAATCCAGACAGACTGGCGCCGTAACGCGTTACGTAACGAAGCGGTTTATGCTCCCATAAGAAGTTATCACTTCAAAAACAATAAATTATTACCAACTTCAAAAATTAAATGATATTCCTAATTAAATTGAACTCGACATTACCGTAAGGTTAGTTTCAATTGTGTTTATGAAAATTTAAGTTGGTATACACTTTGGCAAACTTCTTGAGCAACGACCATAGACAAGAAAGCCTCACATAGAAAAACGTCTACTGCGCAAGTTTACTTGTCTATGGGTTTTGCTACAGAAGTTTGCCGCTGCAAGTTGCAAAGTTAGGTACAATTGCATTCAACATTTTCAGTCTATAAATTGAACAGTAATTTAAATGCTATAACATAAAAAAAAAATTACGTCAACGATTTACCAGTGCCCTTTATTTGCATCTTGTTAATTTGACATAAATATTATTGACACTCGATTCCATACTATGTTCATTCATAATTTTTAAATAGTTTATTTTATTAAATGCAGACAAAATTTAACCCCAAGAAAGTAGTCCAAGTTCTCTTCTACCACAGTTGAGCATTCCACTACTTAATAACTGCTAAATGTCGGTGACAAACAAAGGAACTATATCATTAAAGCAACGAACTTACTTACATTCAACCAAAGAAAGGTTCAGTTGACACCTGTCAAACGAACTGCGTCGTGAATCTTATAGAGTTCACCTTAAAGTTCAATTTTCAGTGTTTCAACTACTATACTCAATATAAAGACACTGGATATGATATTTGCGAAAATGGACTTTATAGTAATCGTGTTAGGGATCAAAACGATCTGTTTATAATTTACTAGCTAAGAATTTTTGTCTTTTACTTATGTAACAGCGTGTGTGCTCTACCAGTAAGGCACGATTCACGTGAACCGCATCCATGCAGGGTTCAACACCAGAAAAAGCATTCAGTGTGATTGATAACTATTAAAAAATCATGCAATCACTTCACCGAAATTATTCGGTACATCAAAACGATTATTTTGTAGAATACAAAATTGTGCAAGACTTTAGTAAAACATCAGGTAACGAGTGTTCAGAAGAATTTGGAATAACTCTTGCTATTATTATTTTTTTACAAAATGTTATTTATCAATCATACAAATTTAATTCGGCAAATTGCATTCGACCACACAAAAACAACAATAATTGGTCGATTGACGATGACGGTCAATACTTGAGTAGGTATTTTAAGAAACTGGGAAACCATGTTGTCGTTTCTATCCCTCAAACCTATATAATGATATAACTTGCAAACGATTTGCGACCGTTTGACCGACCGACGACCGACGTTTGATGAGGGTGTTTGCGAAAATTCACGACATTAGCTGGCACCACTGTGACGTGAGGTACTTTGTATCAAGTTTTTCGCGTAAATTAATGGACCAAACATTTAAATTGATCCATAGACTATGAAGACTTATGCGATTTGACGGTTGAGCAGACCTTTCGCCTCAGTGCTGCAACCTAGCGCCCGTCATTCCTGAATACCCTCATTACGTGGCGAAAATAGACGAACAAAAAGTCAATCACTCTTCAGTCGCCTCTTATCATGTGGAGCTCGATAGCAGAGGTTAGCGCGTTCGGTCTACGATCGTGAAGAAAAAGTAACTTTCACAATGGCCAGTCATAAGATGGGTGAACAAAATCTCGAGCTCCTCCGTGCTTCCGAAATAATGTTAAGCCGTTGGTCTCGGCTGCAGCCGTTTGCACTATGCGTATTGGTTCCCGCGTGACATTTCATGGCCCATTCTATTTTATTCCATCCAGAGGGAAGGCCTGCGCTGCAGCAGTGCGGTCATTAATAGGCTAATGACGATGTCACCTTCCTGACACCACGATAATGACAAAGTTGTGCTTGTATTCTCGCACAGACATTGAAATTGTTATAATTTTATAGCGTAAATGGGCTGGGGGCTACAAAAGGACTGAATCTTTACTTTTAAAAACTACCCAACATTTCTGCTCCACCTGTGTTGTGGTAGATCTCCAATTTGCGTAACCACATTCGAGAGAAATCATTGCAATCACTCTACATATAAATCTTTATACAATTCACTAAAAACGGTCGAAGCGCATAAAACGGTCTTCTTTGTTTGTTGTACCCGGAATAAATTCGTTAAATGCGTTTATTAGAAATTACGTGATTGCGTCTAATATTCTTATCAAATACCGTATAATGGAAAAAAAACAGCATTGTAAGTTCCTCCAAATTTTAGTTACCAGTGTTAGGCTAAGAACTCACGGGGAGATTTCCGCCCGCGCCCGCCGCGGCTGCGTAAAGTAAATAATAATAATAAATAAATATTTCCAACACTCACACCAATTAGCCAAGCCCCAAAATAAGCACTGTAAGGCTTGTGTTATGGGATGCTAGGGTAACGGATAGAATACATAAACTGTACATATATAACTATATTTATATAGAAATACATATTAAACATCCATGACTGGAGTACAAATGCTCGTATTCGTCACACAAACATCTGCCCCCACCGGGATTCGAACCCGGGACCTCTCGAGTCGGCGATAACATGAAACCCGGCGTACAAACAACTCGGCTACGGAAGTCGTCAAGTAAAACCCAAACGCATGTTTTGACGGCGCGATTAACGCGATTTCGGACGATCATCGGAATAAAACAGCTCTGCGGTCGGGTGCGAGAAATAACCCGTGAATACTTTGCCTAATTGAATAACCGCAACTATACCGTTTCCTCAGCAATTTCTAAGTAGTTTTGTATCTTTTTAATAGTATCGGCGTTCTAAAGAGAGAGAAAACTAGCGCTAACGCTATCTCTCTCATTCTATAAATTACCCTCTTCATGATAAAAGGAAAAGTTTTTTTAGCGCGCAATTTTTATATAACACTCTTTGAATTGCAGACTTTCGTACAGTCTGTGCGGAAAGAGAATGGGATTTAGATTGGAGGGCGCTGTAGTGCTTTTCTACCGTATTTGTAAGGTTTTACCCCTTTTAGACACGATTAAATACAAAAAGCTAGAAAATCACAACAACAAACAAATCCGTATCAATACAAAACTTTGACGTTTTACAGATCGCTGGGTTTGATTTCCAAATAAAAATCTTAATGTTAGCTCCGTTTTTCGCCACGCCCATTCTATTTCCGCACAGACTATAAACTTTAGGATCAAAATCAGTAAAAAATGTTTTCAGAGAATTTAACTTACGACACATACGACATCAAACTCTAAGCAAGTCAATGATACTTCCAAATTCATTTATCAAGATACAAGGTCACTTAAGCCCACTTGCACCAATTTTGCTAATGTAGATGCAACTAAAATTAGATTTGGCCCATTCAAAAATGACAAGATGTCTTCGACATATTGACATTTTTGTATGGTTTAAATCTAAATTTAGTTAAATCGAGATTTAGCTGGTGCAAGTGGGCCATATTTATTTATTTTCGAACCGAAGTCGATATTTCACTACGACTGTTAACAATATCAGTCGTGTTCCCTGAGAGTCAAACCGAAATTCAATTTCGATCGCACTCATTATAAGCGAGTCAAAAATGCGACAACGCACCTAAACTGTATTCCACTGGATTCTAATAAATTTCTGGTCTACTGGTCTACAATTATTTACACAGATAAACGCTCGCAGGAAAAACTAATGAATTGCAAATTCATCACGTCATTTAAGTAGTCTAGTAAAATAAGTAACAATGGTTGGTTACATATTTTTATTTTAACTAAACTTACATTATATTCATTGCACTTATAAGTTCATCAAAAGAAATGTCAAAGTCAGCTTTCTAAATTTTAATACTACCTACCATTACATTTTCACTTGGCAGTACCGATTGGAGATATATATTTATATAATTATAATATTTCTGTGGCTGACCGTGAATTGTCACTGTTGCACTGCGCACGAAAATAGAAAAAAAAAACAATCTGTCATAGTGACATTTAAACGTCAAACCGTACGGTTAGACGCGCTCTACTGAGTCCTTAAAGCTCGAGGCCGGCTAAGCGAACAAGAAAGAAACATTTAAAAAATAAAAACGAAATGAACATACATCCTACAGCATAACTTAGAGTAAAACTTAAATGGTACCACTCAAAATAACACTTTATTCTTAGCACATTCTAGTCTAATTTCGCATCGTACCGTTTGAAACTTCCGCATTGTCCGATCAATGTGTCCAATTCACCCTTATCCAATTATTGCTAAGACAACTACCGTGAACGCTTGCGAACCCTCTGTTTCCATAAATGCACAAAGTTATTGTTTATATATCCATTAAATACTAAAATACGATAGATATCTGTGTATCATTTATTTATACCTAGAGTACATAGCCGTTTTCCCTAATGTTTCGTCTTTCAATGCTGTCTAAATTATATAGTGTAATATATTTTACAATGCACATAATTCATAAATCAACAGGCAAACAAGCTTACATTAATATAACACAGCTGTTTACAAAACCAAGTATTTGACATGGAAAGTAACAATTTGTTAAATAATGTATTTTCATATATTATTATGAAACTATAACGCAAACAATTAAATCGTTTAATTTTATGTAATATAAGTATTTATATAGCAAAGGGAACCTTAATTTTACAGACATTTTGTTGAGCTAGTAATGTGCAAACTTCATTGAAGATACTGTGTTTGAAATGCATCACACTTCAGGTTACTTCCTACCCTATAGGCCATGGCAGTTTTGAGTTTAAAAGATTAAAGTTAAATTTAATATAAATACACCAATATCCCCGTACATAGACATTCCTCAAAGATACCAATTTCGGCATAGATTGAAGGGCAAAATTGTCGTCTGATCAGTCATAGATCACCGATTCTATCTTTAAGCACTAGTAAGTTTTCTAATTAGAGTATTATTAGAACTTGTAAACTTCTATAAAACTCACCATTACAAGCTCAACGAATTAATCTCCAAACCAGATTTTCCAGTTGTTTTTACACAAATCAACATGTCGCATCATAGGATTTTTTTATAAAATCTCTATCTTTATCATTTTAAATACAGCATGTTTATACGCTAATATAGCGTAATATGTGCTTAAATAAACTAATACAAGTTTTGATTTTCTGTACTTGTGTCAAATACAGCATGCCTCTTTTTGTTCTATCTTTCTATCTACGTTATAATCAAATGTTGCTCTTCATGCATGAATCTTCATATTCAAGAATCACTAATTACGTCAACATGTTTAGATTAACCAACCAGCCTGTTGATAAGCTAAATATGTAACTTTTTTAACATCTCTTCTGAACGTTTACATTGTTGCGAGAAAAGTATATATCGATTTACACATGAAATCAATAAAATTTCGATTATCTAAGTAAGCAGCTCTAAAAACTTAGCCGAATATTTAAATAATATTTGTCTCAGCCTCAAAAGTTTTGTTTTATTTATAATTTACTTGTAGAGCAATACGTGCACTAATTCGGTTCCACGAACTGAAGACACGTTTAAAATCACCCTGTATACAGTCGAGAAAGAGACACCTCTATATTTATAATTATCGATAAGTTCTTAAATCAAATTGAAAAGCTAATCATGTTTAAGCCTCATTCTATCTTTATTTGACTTTGAGATGGAATCTTTATTTTAAAATTTTGTTTTAGATAGACCGATGTGTGTTAAACAGGGTTGAACCTTAATTTGACTTAAGAAAATGCAAATGGCCTATAACAGCCAGTTTCAATAAATCAACCTCCAGCAAAAGGCAAGAATAATCTGGTTCCGTTTCTTAGCAACAGATGGTACTATAATCTAAATTATGAAAATATTTGAGCAATAAAGCTCTTAGCGGCCTTTATCTTACTGGAGTTTGGTTATTGAAACTGGCCGTAAATTCCAGTCGATTGAAAGGTTATAGAAGTGAGAACAGAGTATTGTTTACAGACTTATAGAAACAGAGGGTGTGTAAGTATACGCTTTACCTCGTCGCGCGATTGGCACGCGTTGCCCTTCGCGCGTGCGTCATCTTTACGTCACGTGCGTCATTGACACGTGCGTCATTAGCGTCGCGTGCGTCACGCGCGCGTACTGAATACGACGCGGGCCGTCAATACGAGCGGCGGTCTTCTAGCTCGGACATCTGTGGATGAAAACAATAGATAAATAACTATACAAATTATATAGTTGATTGAATATTCTTGTAGACGAGTGGTTCTTAACTGGTGGTACGCGGAAGGACCCGAAGTAGTCCGCGAAGCCACTCGGAAGAAATAACTAAATAAATATTTCCAACACAACACTCACACCAATTAGCCTAGCCCCAAAGTAAGCACTGTAGGCTTGTGTTATGGATACTAGGGTAACGGATAGAATACATATACAAATATAGGTATATTTATAAAGAAATATATATAAAACAGCCACGACTGGAGTACAAATGCTCGTATTCATCATACAAATATCTGCCTTCACTAGGATTCGAACCCGGGACCTCTAGTAGGCGATAACATGAAACCCGGCGTACGAACCACTCGGCCACGGAGGTCTTCAATAAGTAAGAACGCTCATTGATTTACAAAATAATGGGGGGGGGGGGGAGAGAGAAATGGTCCCTTATCACTAAAAGGTTAAGAACCACCTTATTATCTTGAGCTCCTACTTTGAATGACGTGTAGACCTTTGGCCCCGGCTGGATCTGCCGGCGTTAGCACCCACCAACTCGCGTGGTCCATAGGCTAATCACCCTATACCATTCATAGGGACATTAATTGACTGATTATGATGACAGATTTAATACGTACGTACGTCGTGCTGGAAGAGGTTTCGTCGGCCCTGTCCTCTATCCTTTGCCGATGAAAATTCTCAGCATCTATTTGCTGTACAAAAATCGACCTTGGGCAAGTCTCCAAAAACTGTAATTGGACTATGACCGCTTGTGCACGGGTTCCTGAAGCGAGTACTGTTTGACGACCTCGCGGCCCACGTACGAGTCCCCAGATACATCTATATACACAAAACTCAAAGGTGATTGACTGACATAGTGGTCTATCAAGGCACAGCCCATACCACTGGACGGACCGAGCTGAAATTTCACATGCAGGTAGATGATATGGCGTAGGTAAGGAAGATAGAAAGGATTTTGATCAATTCTACCCCGGAGCAAAGCGAGGGCGGTCCACTAGTCAGGTATATACTCACGTCGTGGTGCCGGGGCCGCTTGTGCGCGGGTTCGTCGGACGAGTCCTCTATGACGAGCTCGCGGCCCACGTGCGAGCCCCCAGATACGTCAGGTATATACTCACGTCGTGGTGCCGGGGCCGCTTGTGCGCGGGTTCGTCGGACGAGTCCTCTATGACGAGCTCGCGGCCCACGTGCGAGCCCCCAGATACGTCAGGTATATACTCACGTCGTGGTGCCGGGGCCGCTTGTGCGCGGGTTCGTCGGACGAGTCCTCTATGACGAGCTCGCGGCCCACGTGCGAGCCCCCAGATACATCAGGTATATATATACTCACGTCGTGGTGCCGGGGCCGCTTGTGCGCGGGTTCGTCGGACGAGTCCTCTATGACGAGCTCGCGGCCCACGTGCGAGCCCCCAGATACACCAGGTATATATATACTCACGTCGTGGTGCCGGGGCCGCTTGTGCGCGGGTTCGTCGGACGAGTCCTCTATGACGAGCTCGCGGCCCACGTGCGAGCCCCCAGATACACCAGGTATATACTCACGTCGTGGTGCCGGGGCCGCTTGTGCGCGGGTTCGTCGGACGAGTCCTCTATGACGAGCTCGCGGCCCACGTGCGAGCCCCCAGATACGTCAGGTATATACTCACGTCGTGGTGCCGGGGCCGCTTGTGCGCGGGTTCGTCGGACGAGTCCTCTATGACGAGCTCGCGGCCCACGTGCGAGCCCCCAGATACATCAGGTATATATATACTCACGTCGTGGTGCCGGGGCCGCTTGTGCGCGGGTTCGTCGGACGAGTCCTCTATGACGAGCTCGCGGCCCACGTGCGAGCCCCCAGATACACAGGTATATATATACTCACGTCGTGGTGCCGGGGCCGCTTGTGCGCGGGTTCGTCGGACGAGTCCTCTATGACGAGCTCGCGGCCCACGTGCGAGCCCCCAGATACGTCAGGTATATACTCACGTCGTGGTGCCGGGGCCGCTTGTGCGCGGGTTCGTCGGACGAGTCCTCTATGACGAGCTCGCGGCCCACGTGCGAGCCCCCAGATACATCAGGTATATATATACTCACGTCGTGGTGCCGGGGCCGCTTGTGCGCGGGTTCGTCGGACGAGTCCTCTATGACGAGCTCGCGGCCCACGTGCGAGCCCCCAGATACATCAGGTATATATATACTCACGTCGTGGTGCCGGGGCCGCTTGTGCGCGGGTTCGTCGGACGAGTCCTCTATGACGAGCTCGCGGCCCACGTGCGAGCCCCCAGATACACAGGTATATATATACTCACGTCGTGGTGCCGGGGCCGCTTGTGCGCGGGTTCGTCGGACGAGTCCTCTATGACGAGCTCGCGGCCCACGTGCGAGCCCCCAGATACGTCAGGTATATACTCACGTCGTGGTGCCGGGGCCGCTTGTGCGCGGGTTCGTCGGACGAGTCCTCTATGACGAGCTCGCGGCCCACGTGCGAGCCCCCAGATACATCAGGTAATATATACTCACGTCGTGGTGCCGGGGCCGCTTGTGCGCGGGTTCGTCGGACGAGTCCTCTATGACGAGCTCGCGGCCCACGTGCGAGCCCCCAGATACGTCAGGTATATACTCACGTCGTGGTGCCGGGGCCGCTTGTGCGCGGGTTCGTCGGACGAGTCCTCTATGACGAGCTCGCGGCCCACGTGCGAGCCCCCAGATACATCAGGTATATATACTCACGTCGTGGTGCCGGGGCCGCTTGTGCGCGGGTTCGTCGGACGAGTCCTCTATGACGAGCTCGCGGCCCACGTGCGAGCCCCCAGATACATCAGGTATATATATACTCACGTCGTGGTGCCGGGGCCGCTTGTGCGCGGGTTCGTCGGACGAGTCCTCTATGACGAGCTCGCGGCCCACGTGCGAGCCCCCAGATACATCAGGTATATATATACTCACGTCGTGGTGCCGGGGCCGCTTGTGCGCGGGTTCGTCGGACGAGTCCTCTATGACGAGCTCGCGGCCCACGTGCGAGCCCCAGATACACCAGGTATATATATACTCACGTCGTGGTGCCGGGGCCGCTTGTGCGCGGGTTCGTCGGACGAGTCCTCTATGACGAGCTCGCGGCCCACGTGCGAGCCCCCAGATACATCAGGTATATATATACTCACGTCGTGGTGCCGGGGCCGCTTGTGCGCGGGTTCGTCGGACGAGTCCTCTATGACGAGCTCGCGGCCCACGTGCGAGCCCCCAGATACGTCAGGTATATACTCACGTCGTGGTGCCGGGGCCGCTTGTGCGCGGGTTCGTCGGACGAGTCCTCTATGACGAGCTCGCCGCCGACGTCGTCGCCTCCGCCGCCACCGTAGGAGCCCCTAGACCACATATCAACACCATCACTACATGTAACCAATACAGAAAGAAACTGTCAATCAAATGTAGTCATAACAAAAAATATATATAAAGTGAGTCGATGAACAGCATGACAGTGAAATAATTATTTATTGCGCTGTTATACATGAAGCAATCTTGTAAATATTTAGCTATGTATTCACTGAGAAAGAATTGTTTTTAAGCACTGTTTTGAAAGACAAAATCTTAGTGTTTTCTGAAACAATTTTATGTTTCAGAAACATGTAAAATTGTTGCGGTAAACACTCCGTGTTTTGGAGTGAAACACTGAAACAAATCAGTTTCGCAACAGCAGTTTACTCATTTAATCCAAAGATATGAGATGAGATAGCTAGACTACATATTACAAAAATAAATTCAGGAAAATCGATGCGTGGTAGAAATTAAAAAAAAATGTTGAAAGCAAAATGCAAAAGCTGCAACCGCGGTTTGCAAGAGCGAAAAAGATAATGGCGTCTTCGAAAACCACGGAAGTTGGGACAGCATATTATATAAAAAACTAAATCATAACACATGTTGCCTTCTCAACCCACCATCTTCTTTTTCTTCAACTAGCCATTGCCAAATAAATAAACGCGGCACCTAACAGTACTACTTCCTCAGGCGCATATTTGAAACAACTGAAATGTGAACAACCAAGTTCCCGAAGCATTGTTTCCATAAACATCTATCTACCTGTAATTTCAGAAACTGTTTCCGAAGCATAGTTTTCAGTAAATACATGGCTTCATGATACAAAAAAAACCAAATTTATAAATACATTAGCGGACCGGAGTGATATGGCCCTGTTCGACAAAAACAAAAAATCTAGAATCGGTCTGCAGTGCGATCTACTGGCCCCAGTCTTGAATCAAAACCATCCAAGGATTCACTCCCATGCACAATAAAGTTTTAATGAAATCGGTTCAGCCGTTCAGGAGAAATAACTCAAGGCTCACGCGAAGGCGCGTCCTCCTCTTGTATGTAGTGCCATGTTCATTGTTAACTAATGCATGCCAATCTCCCCCTTCTGTCCGAGTTAATAAGACTGGTTGTGTGTATTATTCAAGTGTAGTACGGCGAGTGTATGTAGTGACATGTTTATAATAAAGTAATACACGGCAATTTACCCCTTATGCCCGTATCAATAAGAGTAGTTATCTGTATGCATTAATCTTATAATATAAATTGTGGACTTTTTTTCACTCGTTTTTCTCGGCAGCTAAAAATATGTCCAAAAATATGTTAAATAAGTAGTGGTAGAGAAATTTTTTTTTTTACGATTCCAAAGAGTTTTACTATACATCCAATTTGAATAAATATATATTGGTTTCTGAATTCTGAATCACGCATAGTACTTGTATTTAGTGCCACGTAACTTTCTAAACTAATATACTTATGCCAATTTACTCTTTTTGTCTTCGTCAATAAAAGCGATTATCGTGTGCATTACTCACGCGTAGTACGGCGTGTGTAAGTATACTCTATTCAACTCCCTTTGAGCCAAAAGTTAAAGGGTTAGTAAACCATTAAAGGGTTTTTGATAGCTCGAATTTGAAAACGTAATTAAATAAAGGTGACATAAGAAAGACCCAAAACTGTACCCGTTCCCAAACATTGAATGCATTATAATACTAATAAATTAAAGAGCAAGTAATAAAGCAAATAATTTATGTTGAAATGTGAAATTTTGTAATCAGTCTGGTTACACCGGCCCTCTTTGCTCTCGACAAAAAAGTTCCGAAAACATTGGTTTACTTATTTGTTTATCCTTTGGCTCACAGAAAGTCGAATAGAATATAGTACTATTTTCTTTGTAAAGTAATACACGCCAATCTACCCCTTCTGTAAGTGTTAATAAGAGTGGTTATCGCGTGCATTACTCACGCGTAGTACGGCGAGTGCTGGTGCAGCACGACGCTAGAGGGCGCGTCTTCCTCTTGTATGGATACGAGGTTGCCTCCCGTCGTTGTGCCTACCACGTATTTTTCTGAAAACATCAGTTGATATCAGATAATGAACCTAATTCTAACATGTAAACTACTAAAATAATAACATATAAAAGTAACTTTATTTTTATTTATTTTCAGAATCTCAAAGGAACCTGTCATTTTTCTATGATAAAAAGTATCCCATATCTCAATCCAGGTCATAAAGTATATGCTTACCAAATTTCATCCAAATCAGTCTAGTAGTTTTTGAATGATTGAATTACATACAAACTTTCTTATTGATAGTATAAAGTAGGATTAAATGAAACACTACTTCAAAGAGTTTTATTAAAAATGAGTTCTTTAAAACATCCTAGTACTAATATTATAAATATCAAAGTTTTCATGTTTGATACTCAATCACGCAAAAACTACTGAATGGATCTGGATGAAATTAAGTGTCGATCTTAAAGGGGCCCATATACGTAACGATTGATCTGTACGATCCGTCGTTTCAGACCGATCGAAACGATGGATCGACAGTGTATGTCAAGATCGTTAACGATTTACTTAATCGCAGACGATATCGGAGATCGCAACAAAAACCCATGCAATCATGAATGTCGTAAACGATCGATCGTCAGTGTCCCATATACGGCACAATTGATCTGTAAGATCCGTCGTTTCAGACCGATCGAAACGATGGATCGACAGTGTATGTCAAGATCGTTAACGATTTACTTAATCGCAGACGATATCGGAGATCGCAACAAAAACGCATGCAATCATGAATGTCGTAAACGATCGATCGTCAGTGTCCCATATACGGCACAATTGATCTGTACGATCCGTCGTTTCAGACCGATCGAAACGATGGATCGACAGTGTATGTCAAGATCGTTAACGATTTACTTAATCGCAGACGATATCGGAGATCGCAACAAAAACGCATGCAATCATGAATGTCGTAAACGATCGATCGTCAGTGTCCCATATACGGCACAATTGATCTGTACGATCCGTCGTTTCAGACCGATCGAAACGATGGATCGACAGTGTATGTCAAGATCGTTAACGATTTACTTAATCGCAGACGATATCGGAGATCGCAACAAAAACCCATGCAATCATGAATATCGTAAACGATCGATCGTCAGTGTCCCATATACGGTACGATTGATCTGTACGATCCGTCGTTTCAGACCGATCGAAACGATGGATCGACAGTGTATGTCAAGATCGTTAACGATTTACTTAATCGAAGACGATATCGCAAATCGCAACCAAATCCCATGCAATCATGAATATCGTAAACGATCAATCGTTTCGTGTATGTAGCATTTCTGAACGATCGATCGTTGACGACTTCCTTCAGATCGGGCCCTTTACTTGAGTACAGTTAGAAAGGGATATCGCTATGTGCTATATATATCGACATCCCTTTCTAACTATGCTGAAGACTAGATTCATTACTGAGAATCTTTCTGTAATACGGGCCTTAGTTTACTGTGGTCTTCTCTAACAGAACGAGGCCTGCTCTAATTTCAACGAAAAAACTAAATTTCGATCGAAATTTCGCACGTTTCTTACTCTGTTTCCTTTTCATTTCGAAAATTCGTTCGTCCGAAAATAGTTTGACAATTAAATTCTCCAAGCCTACTCTTGACTTGACATATAATTGTTCGAATTTTTAACCTCAAATTAACGAAATGAAAAGTGTTACCTTTTCATTTTCGTTTTGGAACTTTTGTTTAAATTAAGCCTAAAATGACTGATACAGTATTTTTAATCAAGGCTGCTTAGCATGAGGAACATTTTTTAGCATGTCAAATTAACAAATAGACCATATTTTAATTGATTATTGCATTTCCAATACTTCAAAATATTAAACGACAAATTAAGGTTGACATATAATGAAGTGCATCAACTCTACAAATTAGTCGGCTAACACTGTCAAAGAAGGATCTTACAATGTCATAGAAAAAATGTAGTAAGGTAATATTGTTTCCAAGTAAACCAGGTAATCTAAAAAGTGGAGATAAAAGAACTCACAAACATGACTCATTCCATTCGTTCACGAAAATTGTCTGTGATTCCGAACTTTATGTGCGTGTTCGAAAATGAAATAGAGTAGAGTTATTGGCGGAATTCCGTTTCGGAGAAAGAGAGTAGAGCTCCAGATGTCATTGTTATGCTTATTAGAATTAAGGAGTTTTTACTGTATTATCCAACTGCATTGGCATTTGATGAAAATGATAATTCTCTTGTTGAGGAGTTCGATAGCGCCACCCGTTACGATCGTTGAAGTTAAGCATCTTTCGCAGTGGTCGTTCATTGGATGGGTGACCAAAAATCTCTCGAGTTCCTCCATGCTTCTGGATGCACGCTAAGCCGTTGCTCCCAGCCGCATCTGCAGCCGTTAGCACCCGCTTATCCGCACTGCGCCCGCGTGGTGAGTCATGGCCCAATCTCCCTATTTCATCCACAGGGAAGGCCTGCGCCCCAGCAGTGGGGCCATTAATAGGCTGATGATGATGATGATGATGATAATTTGTGGTTGGTTTGATCGACAAAACATTTGCTTTATTGACAAACGTCAACACATTTGACAAAAAAGACAAACGATCGTCATTTCACTAATCAGTTTTCCTTGTAATAAAATAGATATAGAATAGTAATTCTATGGATGTAATGTCTATGGTTTATGCTATTGGCATGTTAGTGGCCAAGTATGGTATGTTTTTTTTCCTAATTTTCTTCAGACTTTTGTCCGAATCTTTTCATATCTTGTTTTGTTTTCATCATCATCAGCCTATTAATGTCCCCACTTCTAGGGCACAGGCCTTCCCTATGGATGGAATAGGGAGATTGGGCCATGACCCACCACGCGGGCCCAGTGCGGATTGGTGGGTGCTAACGACTGCAGATGCAGCCGGAACCAACGGCTTAACGTGCCTTCCGAAGCACGGAGGAGCTCGAGATAGTAATTTTTGGTCACCCATCCAATGACCGACCACTGCGAAAGTTGCTCAAGCAGCCGAACGCGCTAACCACTTGCGCCATCGAGCTCCTCATTTGTTTTACTTAAGCTATATTAATTTTGTTTTATTAGTTCATTTTACCGGTAGTGTTTTAACGTTTTGTTACGTTCCTTTGCAATTTTTATTAATTTTACTGTAAAAGATGAAAAAAATAGTCTTATTTTAGAACTAGCGGCCCTCACTCGCATCTCTTCGGTGTAGAGCTGAAGTGTAGACTACAGTTTTTGTTCTCGGGCTTGTATTATACAGAATGACATTCATCTATGATTCTTCTTATACCTGTATGCAAAGTCTCAGTCCGATCGGTTTAAAATTGACAAAGTTTCATACAAACTTTCATTCCCTATTTTATCCCCTTGGGGGTAGAATTGATCAAAATCCTTTCGTAGCGGATGCCTACGTCATAACATCTACCTGCATGCCAAATTTCAGCCCGATCAGTCCAGTGGTTTGGGCTGTGCGTTGATAGATCACTATGTCAGTCAGTCACCTTTGAGTTTTTTATATATAGATAGATATAGCAATTTAATCTATGTAATGTGTGATTTATGCATTCTGTTAACAGTCGGAGTATGGTATGGTTCTCACCTTCCCTCTCGCCACCGGCGCCGTTGGTGACAACGGTGATCTGTACCCCTAACACGAAACAATATCGAATTCGTATCGTTTGCGAGTCCGAAATGTCACTGTCAAATGTGTACTGATTTTTAGTTCTCGTTACGTACTTTGTGCCGCTGCTGTTCAAGTTTTCCATACAAAATTAGACATTGACATTTCGGTTTGCAAACTATTCGAATTCGATAATGGTGCGTGCTAGGGGTACTGGTGGCCTGTGGTTTTGTGTTATTTGGCACCAAGTGTGTCTAGTTTTTTTTGTCTTAAAAATATATATATAGAATAGTAAGTCTATGGGTGTAATGTCTATGGTTTTTGGTATTGGCATGTTTGTGACCAAAAGTGGAATTGTTCTCACCTTCCCTCTCGCCACCGGCGCCGTTGGTGACGACAGTGATCTGGTGTCCGGCCACCACCAGCCCTCCGCCAGTCGGGTAAGCCAGCCCGTGACCTGAATGAGTATTGAAATCTACGCTACAATTATAAAGAATGGACTTATGCGGTGCATTCTAGTAGGGCCAGGACCGGATTTAAAAATGGTGGGGCCCGGGGCTGAAATTGATGCGGGGCCCATTTAAGGATATGAAAATCATCTGATTCCCAATTGTTCTAAATTCCATTTTTATGATTAACATGCATTCGAAACTTTCACGCATTTTAGAATGTAGAAGGGAGGTCAAACTTCTTTTCTGTATTTCATGGGATGACGGTGCGGGGCCCGGGGCTTTAGCCCCCCTATGCCTCTACGTAAATCCTGGGCAGGTCCCGATCGAAGGGAAGCGAGCCAGGCATTTGCCCAGAGCGGCAAAAATTAGGGGCGGCAAAATTGACTTAGGGGCAGCCGTAAAGTACGTCACTAAAGAACAACAAAATTTTTTGCCCAGAGCGGCAAAATCTCTAGATCGGGTCCTGCACACAGGTCAACCAGTTAAGTTTAAGTATGTCGTAGTATTAGGAAACTAAATTAATAACGTGTTAACGTATTATGAATCGATGAACACCGGCTGCTCGTACGAAAAAAGTGTCACGTTCCGCCTCAGTACGCCATCTAGTGACTAACTTAGGAGATACGCAATGACGTATAGGGATGCAATGATATTTAGGAAAACCAATAAATATGGATATATCGACGCCTAATATTACATACCGATATCGATGACACGATATTATTTTTTTTTATATATAGGTATCGGAAAAAAACAATATCGAAACGAAATATCGAAAACCGCCTAAATTAAAATACCCACAAAATCGTGTAAAATGTTTCTCCCTTTTTAAAGAAAATAAACGATTATTCGTAATTTAACAAAATTATATTGCACTCCTTAATAACGTGTTAACGAATCGATGAACACCGGCTGCTCGTACGAAAAAAGTGTCACGTTCCGCCTCAGTACGCCATCTAGTGACTAACTTAGGAGATACGCAATGACGTATAGGGATGCAATGATATTTAGGAAAACCAATAAATATGGATATATCGACGCCTAATATTACCGATATCGATGACACGATATTATTTTTTTTTTATATATAGGTATCGGAAAAAAACAATATCGAAACGAAATATCGAAAACCGCCTAAATTAAAATACCCACAAAATCGTGTAAAATGTTTCTCCCTTTTTAAAGAAAATAAACGATTATTCGTAATTTAACAAAATTATATTGCACTCCTTATAATCTAACAATTACAGTGTAGGTTAATATAATTACAGTGTTGGAAATAATAATAATATATCACCTGGCGAGCCGGGCGCGCTTTGGCTGACGCCGCTTGTGCGCGGAAACAGATACTGTTGCGCCTGCGAGCCAAGCCGCTGCTGCTGCTGCGAAGACTGAGGAAAAAGCCGTTACTTATATAACATCTCTACGAAAACTTGATGCAATCATAGGACATTATTTATTTAATCTATTATTTTTTAAAAATCTAAAGAAAATATAACTAGAAAAAATTCCTAGAAATAATTGGTCAGTGCATTCGCCCGGATTGCGAAGGGTGCGGGTTCGAGTCCCGTCTGCTGCCTGGTCCGCGTGGAATTTTTTCTAGTTATATTTTCTTTAGATTTAAACATCAAACAGTTACATGCTTTAAAAATAATAAAAATTATAACTATTATTTTTTACCAATCTCTTATCTAATAGACAAGTCCGTCCGTCCGTCCGTGGTGCTGTTTCAGCGGCCAAACCGTAAGAGATAGATATAGAGAATGTTTAAGTTATAAGTTAAGAATAGTCTGATAAGACTACAAACCGGATGTGAGTAACGTAGCACTTCCGGTTTTCGAGAAATCACGTGATTTCTATTTCAAACGAAACCACACAAAATCTCCGAAGTTCTCAATTAATTAAATACTTTTTTTTTTGGTGAACATTTGGTTCACTAGTATATAGTATTATGGCAGACTTAATGCCGTAGGCATTCTCTACCAGTCAACCAGTAGGGGTGTAGGAGACTAATGTTATGGCGATAGAGTTCGAGCCGGCACACCGGCATAAATATTATATCAAAACTTCACTTGCCTATTGTTTAAATCTAAAGAAAATTTTACTAGAAAAAAACCCACGCGGACCAGGCAGCAGACGTTTTATAAACATTATAGTTTTAGTTATAATATGAGGAACTCGATGGCGCGGGAGGTTAGCGCGTTCGGCTGCGATCGTTGAAGTTAAGCAACTTTCGCAGTGGTCGGTCTTTGGATGGGTGACCAAAAATCTTTTATCTGGAGTTCCTCCGTGCTTCGGAAGGCACGTCAATTGTTGGTCCCGGCTGCATCTGCAGTTGTTAGCACCCGCCAATCCGCACTGGGCCCGCGTGGTATGTCATGGCCCAATCTCCATATGCTATCCATAGGGTAGGCCTGTTCCTCTGCAGTGGGAAGATTAAGAGGCTGATGATAAGAATACCTGATGGTCGTGTTCTTCGTGCAATAGATCGGGCGTGGGCTCCCGCGACAGTTCTTCGGGCGTCACCAGGCCGGAGACGCCCACTTGAGAGGGGGAAGTCGGCGCACTCCTGCATAATTGAAGATGATGAAGAGGTGTTACATTTATTTAAATAAATAAAAATGAAAATAAAAAAATACTAGAAAAAAGTCCGCGTGGACCAAGGGGTCAATCGCCTAACGGAATTGTTATATGGGTATCGCTATCGCCCCGCACTCGTTTTTTTTTCTTTTTTATTGGTAACAACAATTTCAAAGGTATTTGAAAACCTTCGGCGGTCAGAAATAACAAAATGAAATCTTCAGCGATAGCGGTAGCCATAGCAATCCCCTTCGGAGAATGTCCCCCAGGCAGTTGACGGGACTCGAACCCGCTCCCAATAAATGACGCTGCCCTCAAAAAAGTATGGAAGCCTACATCACGCAATAGAAATTTGGAATCCAACTCTTGCCCGACCAACAGCTTACAACCAGGAAGATCTTGCCTTTGACCTTCTTCCTACATGTTTTCCTTTTTTTATTATTATAGATAGGTCCGGCAGATGACTCCACCCACCCGATGTTCAGTGACGGTGAAGTCTACACGTGAAGATAGCTGGTACAGCAGTTCTACCTGCCACACCAGCCATCCTCACCCTGCCGGCCTGCATGTTGTTTCTTCACGCCTCTTTTAAAGGATCCCAGGTTGTAAGAAGGATAATAACACGTGAGCGGGCAGAGCATTCAATTTACGGGTAGTACGACAAAGAAATGAGTTACTAAATTTCTTTGTACGCGTTGGAATTGTGGCCACAGTTAGACGGTGACAACGTAGGCGCGTGATCCTCTGAAGGAAATGGGAAGGTGCAATAAGAGAGAATAACTCCTCAGAACACTCGCCATGGTACAGACCAGGGTTGTTGCGAATATTCGCATCCGAACATCCGCATCAATTAAGACATCCGCATCCGCAAATATCGATGCGGAGCTATTGCGGATGCATATGTGTAGCAGGTGGCGACAAGAAAGAATGGTGTTACCTAATTTTGTTAAACGGTGACGCGCCTCGCTATTGTTTGTATTGCGACTAGATTTGACGTTTGTTGTTTTGTCGTAAATATTCAATCACAAGTTTATTACTTCTTTATTACCACCACCCATGCAAAGTGAAATATGGACCTATTTCAATCCTGTTAAAAATGACCGGGATAAATCTCAGTGTAAAATATATGTAGTAAAACATATTAACCAAAGGGTCCGAATTACATCGTCGCTAAAAAATCATCGAAAAATCAATGCACCCCGAAGAGTTTACTTTATTTGGAAACGCGAGTATAACGAAAAGCAGCTACAGTAAACAAAAAATTATGAATGAGTCATATTAATTCACGAACTACTTTATTATTTAATAAAGCAAGGATAAATATTACTGTCTTTTTTTACCCTAACCACACTTAAGTTTTTTGTACAGATCCGCATCCCCATCCGCGGATGTGAGCCTCTTAAAATCCGCATCCGCGTCCGCGGATGTGAGAATATCTGCATCCGCAACATCCCTAGTACAGACTAGTGATGTAACGAATGAAATTATTTGAACATTCGCGAATGCGGATGCAGATGCGAATATCTGGTACCGACATTCGCGAATGCGAATATATGTTTTTGTTCAAAATTGGCGCCAATTGTCTATGGCATGGTGGCAGTCTCGTTCGAATTGCCGAGTTGATATGAACTCGTCCGACTTTTCGTAAACAAAACAAGTGAATTTTGAGGTTAGAGTTTGAATAGTGATCAATTAACACGAGTAAATCAAATTCTAGTGAAATATGGACTTATTTCACACTTTGAGATGCTGAACGAGCTAAATGCAAGCTGTGTAACAATGAATATTCAAGTAATGGAAGAACTACAACTTATTTAAATTGTTTTTTTTTTTATATTCATATTCGCAAAACATTCGCAGAGATTTTGCGAATGCGAATGTGAATATTCAGAAATATGCGAATATATTGAGGAGCTTGATGGTGCAATTGGTTAGCGCGTTCAGCTGCGATCGTTGAATTTAAGCAACTTTCACAGTGGTCGGTCATTGGATGGGTGACCGAAAATTTACTATCTCGAGCTCCTCCGTGCTTCGGAAGGCACGTTAAGCCGTTGGTCCCGGCTGCATCTGCAGTCGTTAGCACCCGCCAATCCGCACTGGGCCCGCGTGGTTGGTCATGGCCCAATCTCCCTATTCCATCCATAGGGAAGGCCTGTGCCCCAGCAGTGGGGACATTAATAGGCTGATGATGATGCGAATATTCGCGTATGCGAATGCGGATAATCGTTACATCACTAGTACAGACGATAGAACGCGCTTAGTGACGCCACGCCACGGAAGGAAACTTGGCGGGTATCGTATGAAGACAGCACACACCTGGAGGAGAGGCCGAAGGGCGCGCGGAACTGCACGCCGCGCGGGCGCCGCGGACGGAAGGCGAGTTCTATGAGCTTGCCCTCGCTTTGAGGATCGATGCGCCAGAAGCTGCCTTTCCCCGGCTCCTCCTGGCTGCGCGGCACTTTAATGAAGTATCTGGAAATATTAATCACACAAATATTATAAAGGCGAAAGTTTGTGAGTGTGTACGTTTGTTACTTCTTCACGTCTAAACGAATGGAGCGATTTTAATCAAATTTGGTATGGAGTAAGCTGGGACACCCTGGATTAATAGGGTGCGGCCAGAGTGCACTCAGATTCAGATTCAGATTCCGAAAACAAGCGCGAGAAATAAACAGTGTAGTCGAAGGGTACGGCCAGAGTGCACTCCTGATTCAGATTCAGATTCAGACTCAGAAAACAAAGCGCGAGAAAAAGCAGGCAACCTGCTTAGACTACACTGTTTATTTCTCGCGCTTGTTTTCAGAATCTGAATCTGAATCTGAGTGCACTCTGGCCGCACCCATACATAGGATTCGTTTACTGCGGGAAAATATCCCTAATAAACCGCGGGTATCACCGCGGGGCACAGCTAGATGGCCATAGGTACGATACGCTTGCTTTTAAAGATTCCGACAACTTTATGCATAATGCTACCTGCCCACTGGGAGCGGAGAAACGGATAAATGTTAACCAATAGGATTATAGCGCTTGTTGCTGACCTTAACCATATTTTCTTTTCTAGCCCTAGGTATGTCAGAACCATCTTTTTAGATTCATTGAAGACAGCAAATATTCCTTTTCCTACGTCCATTCCTTCCCTTCTATATAAAATTAATCCTGATAAATACGTATGTTTATCCAAGTTTATCAGAAAAAAATATATTAAAATTAAATTAGTTTATCTTCATATTTGTTTTTATTTGTAGCTATTTTTTCCTACCTATTCGACTGTTGTTCCTTCTTCTTCGTAAATCTCCCTTTATTTTTATTGTTTATAATTTATATCGTTTCCTACTTTTTAACATCTACTACCACCAAATATTGACTATCCATATTCCGCTCCATTAATTGATTATTAAGTTTAATCGATTTGCTACCTAATTACTTGCTGAAGCTTGCATATGGCAAATGGAAATATTAGCCGAAATGCTATGCCATAATAAAAGAAGAAGGATTTGCGCACTAAATTTGTTCACTATATATTTTTCTCCGTTTCTCCGCACCGCAGCCTCGCTCCGCTTCGGTGGTCAGACAGCCTCACTTTCACAGAGGAAGTTGAATTCTTGTAGTTTTCTGTTAGTTCCAGAAAGGGTTTTTGGGTAAAAAGGCTGGACTCCCTACATTATTCAGAACTTTGCGGCTCAGTAATATTAGGTACGACAAAAAAAAATCTAATTTTCATAGAAAACTTTGAGGATACGTTACGTAACGGAGCTGTAAAAAAACGTGCTTAGTCTTCAGAAGAAGTTAGAGATCACCTGTTGAGTTATGACGTATGGAGTTCTGCCAGCCTTTGTCCGCGGTACGGTAGTACGGGTAGTGCTTGGTGATGTAGCTGTAGATGCCGCTGTTGATGAGCTGTGAAACTAGCTCACCTGTTGAGCGACAGGTTGTGACGTATGGAGTTCTGCCAGCCTTTGTCCGCGGTACGGTAGTACGGGTAGTGCTTGGTGATATAGCTGCAGATGCCGCTGTTGATGAGCTGTGGAACTAGCTCACCTGTTAGGCGACAGGTTGTGACGTATAGAGTTCTGCCAGCCTTTGCCCGCGGTGCGGTAGTACGGGTAGTGCTTGGTGATATAGCTGCAGATGCCGCTGTTGATGAGCTGTGGAACTAGCTCACCTGTTAGGCGACAGGTTGTGACGTGTGATGGAGTTCTGCCTGCCTTTGTCCGCGGTGCGGTACTACGGGTAGTGCTTGGTGATGTAGCTGTAGATGCCGCTGTTAATGAGCTGTGAAACTAGCTCACCTGTTGAGCGACAGGTTGTGACGTATGGAGTTCTGCCAGCCTTTGTCCGCGGTACGATAGTACGGGTAGTGCTTGGTGATGTAGCTGTAGATGCCGCTGTTGATGAGCTGTGAAACTAGCTCACCTGTTGAGCGACAGCTTGTGACGTATGGAGTTCTGCCAGCCTTTGTACGCGGTGCGGTAGTACGGGTAGTGCTTGGTGATGTAGCTGCAGATGCCGCTGTTGATGAGCTGTGAAACTAGCTCACCTGTTGAGCGACAGGTTGTGACGTATGGAGTTCTGCCAGCCTTTGTCCGCGGTGCGGTAGTACGGGTAGTGCTTGGTGATGTAGCTATAAATGCCGCTGAGTGTGAGCTGCTTGTCGGGCGCTGAAGCCACGGCCTGTACTATGAGCTGCGCGTAGCTGTAAGGGGGCTTGGCGTCGTCGCGCACGTCTCGGGAGTCGCGCGAGTCGCGAACGTCACGGCTGCTGTAGCCCGACTCGGAGGTCGTCGACGACACCTGGTAAGAAAGAGATTATAATGGTCAATATTTGCTGTGTACTGAAATCCTCGTGTGTATATCTAGACTAAAAAAAACGGACTTGAGCGTTCTCTGTCCAAACCTGTAAACTGAAACTGGGCACAAAACGATCATAAGGTCTATACTTCGTCTGCACATCGCTTTCTATATTTCTAGCGAGTTGTCAAAATCTTGCAAGTTCTGCTCAGTTCGTTAAAATCGTCATGTATAGTACATTTTTTTTATAGTTATAGTTCCGACAAATGACTCTGCCCCACCTGATGTTAAATGACGGTGAAGTCCAGACGTGAAGATAGCTGGTACAGCAGTTCTACCTGCCACACCAGCCATCTTCACCTTGCCGGCCTGCGTGTTGCTTCTTCACGCCTCTTTCACAATTCAAACTTTATGACGGCTGTGAAGTAAGCAGCGAGCACAACAATGCACAGGTTTTAAATTTATTGACATCCCGCGCGCATGTACATCTACCTATATTGTTAACAGCGCCACGACTTACGCTGTCTTCACAGTAGCCATTAAGTTTAAATCGCACTATTATGTGCGGTAAGATGGTGATCATCTCACCGCAGTACCGTTGGTTGGTCGAAGGTGATGCGCCAGCGCCGGGTACTGCGCGACCAGGCCGAGGACAACCATTTGCCGCACTGTGATCTTTCATGCAGAGTTGGGACGGATTACTCTAAATCAGTATTAACAGATAGATCGCTCTCAACTCCAAGGGCGATCTTGAGATAGTGTTTTGAATGAAAACAGCATCTCAAAATCGTAGCCTCAGTTATATGGATCTAAGATTCTGATTAACAGTTGTTATCTCACCGCAGTGCCGTTGGTGGGTCGCTGGTGGTCTGCCAGCGCCGCGTACTGCGCGACCAGGCCGAGGTCAGCGTGCCGTCGGCCCGACGAGCCGGCCCCTCTCGGCGACGTTGGACAGCTATTCGCTGCACTTATCGTACCTGAAAGCAATACCGACATTTATCATATAGGTATAGAGAAGACAATTCAAATAGACTGAGACAACTAGCACAATTGACACCTACCAATCAATTCTTCTCAGCTGCTTCTAAGCTAATTCTATTCTGCTAAGGTAACGGTATATTCGTGTCTCAATAGTCGTTCAATAGTATCACTTTTTGACACTGTTCAAGTTCATTTTTTTTTCCTTACATAAAGGTTGTATAACTGGTCCTTAGGGATGAGCGCTGTGTCTGTGATACAGGTATTTTTATAACCTAGTACAGGCACAGAGGATACTATAAATGTTTATAAATGTTTATTCTAAGCTATACTGTATATTGTGTTGTACGATTCTTGTAAAACTGGCTTGTGAAATAAATATTATTATTATTATTACATATTTTTATTTTTAAACTAGCATTAAACTGTTTTTAATCTAGTTATTTTAACTAGAAAAAAATCCACACGCTCCTGATTTCAGACGGGATTCGAACCCGCATCTTCTGCTATCCTGATGAGTTACGTAACTGTTCATGTTACATAATCATAAAATATTAAATGCATTTAGATAACATTTACTCATTAGTAAGGATATACATACATTTGTGATTTTCGTCGTTGTCCATGGGTATGGCGATGCTGAGGGGCACGAGCGGCGCTGGAGTTGTTGCCGGCGCCTGGAACTCTCTTCCACCAGCGACTGGAACTCCAGCCGGACGTTCGTGAAAATGAAACTGAGGGTGCGTCGTGTGTGTGTTGTCTTACCCGTAGACGAGGGTGCGGGGTTGCGGGCGTCGTTATCCATGAGTTTGGAGTCGCAGAGGGGCACGCCAGAGCTGTCGCCAGCGCCGCTCTCCTCTACCAGCGACTGAAACACCAGCCGGTTGTTCGTGGATGGGAAATGTAGGGAGTATCATGTGGGTTGTCTTACCCGTAGGCGAGGGTGCGAGACTGCGGGCATCGTTATCCATGGGTATGGCGATGCGGAGGGGCACGAGGGGCACGCCAGAGCTGTCGCCAGTGCCGCTCTCCATTACCAGCGACTGGAACTCCAGCTGGACGTTCGTGGAAGGGAAACGGAGGGTGTGTCGTTTGTGTGTTGTCTTACCCGTAGACGAGGGTGCAGGGCTGCGGGTGTCGTTGTCCATGGGCACGAGGGGCACGCCAGAGCTGTTGCCAGCGCCGCTCTCCATCACCAGCGACTGGACCACCAGCCGGTTGTTCGTGGATGGGAAATGTAGGGAGTATCATGTGGGTTGTCTTACCCGTAGGCGAGGGTGCGGGGCTGCGGGCGTCGTTGTCCATGGGTATGGCGATGCGGAGGGGCACGAGCGGCGCGCCGGAGCTGTTGCCGGCGCCGCTCTCCTCCACCAGCGACTGGAACTCTAGCCGGATGTTCGTGGAAGGGAAACGGAGGGTACATCTGTAATAGACAAGGGTTCCTTGTAAGAGGATGCACCAAGGCGCGAACATGTCATTTAAATATCTAATTGTTTTTTTTTTTCTATAATTTTGGCCAGAATTAAATTATTTATATGTAACAAGGGCATTATTCAAACAAATATTGTTATGGTAATAAAATATTTGTTGAATTGGGAACTTAAACAAGACCAATTTTACCACAAGTGATACTTCCGATAGTCAACTATGTGTCACCACTTACTGCCTACTAGTAATCTAATGGTTGAATATTACGACAACAAAAAACGTAAGATATAATAGAAAGGTCTTATCATTTACATACATTTTAGATATTTTAAGAAACAAATATCATATTTAAAATTATACAAATCATTGCTACCGATACTAATTAAATAGTAACGAGCCACATTGGCGCCCACCGTGGTGCGGATCTATATCCGGTCATCGACCAAGCTGACCGCATAGTGTATTGATTAAAACAACAGATTGAGGCATGGCGACTCCACGATTCCACAAAAGCACTATTAGCACCGATTCCGAGAAACGCAATTTATTGCCGGTTACCCGCAGTGCGATAAGTGCAATAAGCACCGGAAAGTAAACTACCCTCCTATATTTCCTATCGACCTACTAACGGGGGGCACGGTTAGTGCCCCCGCCAAGAAGACAATACGAGCCAAATGAAGCGCAAGGGCACTTCGAGAAAAGCTTCGTCGTTATTTTTAATCCTTGTAACTTGAGTTTGGATTCTACCAGATAAACAAAAAACAAAATTTGTGGTTTTGCCGTTTCGTTATGACAAGAACTATTATAATTAGTATAACAGAAAAGAAATGAACAGTGGATAAATTTTTCACCTTACGTTCACGTTAATGTTTCCAAATGACCAAGTCACATATGTTGACTAAGGTGTGCAGTTTGTGAAGTAAGGGCGTGTAGAGTTAGAAGCTTGGCTCTACATAATATCTGATAACTTTTTGACAGTGCGAGTCATATGGTCTCGCCTTGGCAACACTTGACATTAAAATGTTTCTGGTGGGACATACTTTTACATGATATTGTGTTGCTACAGTAGCATAGTTTACAAAGAGCACTTCCGTATACCAACTAAACATATAATTTTCCTTTTTTTTTTCAATTTATTTATTAATTAATTTGCATACAATAAAAACATCATTACAGCACAAAAACCTTAAAGATTTATCTGTGCTGCAGAGTCGCTCCAGTCTCCGCAGCCAGTCACGCCAAATAGCCTGTCTGGTTTTCTAAATAATACTTTTTTAACATTTTAACAAAGGGTCTAGAAGATTTTATTTTATTTTGAATAGCCTCTGGTAGTTCATTGGTGAATAAGGGTAACTAACTATAACAATTCTGTAGACTTCTATATACAAATACTTAAAAGTTCTGGTTCCATAAATAACGTTGTACTTTGTAGTAATAAATAAATTATTATTTATTAAGTTTCTAAGATTTAATGATCTTTGATAATGCCTATTTACAATAAATTCGCTCGTATTTACAAATTGTTACATTATTCTAACAAGATCTAGCGAATCACTCAGCGAATCAATCACCATTCTATCTGAGCAGATATATGAGCAGAGTCGAGCAGAATTTAAAAAGAGATAAGTCTAGCTTTGGGTCACCTCCTACTTACAGAAGACTACAGTGGACTAGCTTCAGTGCTATCGTGTACCTTTAGGACTTTACGAAGTATGGGGATCGAGTCAGTGTAGGCAAGTGTCTATCAAAATTCAAAAAAAACTCAAAATTCAATATAGTTTATTAAGTCTAGGCTGTTACAAGCACTTGTGAATGTCGAAAAGCTACGCCATCGGTTCGCAAATCTACGGCGCGAGACATTGTATTGAGAAGAACCGACAAAAAACTCAGCAAGGTCTGTTTTTTTCTCCCTGTATTATATACAGAGTCGTCAAATTGAAAAATGACTTCTATATCTCATGGAGTCACTTTCCATTACAAATGTAAATGATATAAAAATATATAAACAAACTGATTTAACAAACTTTAAGTCCTATAGGAATGCCGTTTTCTGCTATTTAGGCATAATATATCCACAGGCTATAATGGCCGCTTGCTTGCCACCCTTTTTAACCTAACTTAAAAAACAAATTCACATATTCAACTAATACTTGTTCGCTGTAGTGGGACTTTAATAATTGTAATAGTGACGTCAATTGCATAAACTTGTTATCACCTGTAAAGGTTCAATGATTATCACTATCTATTTATTCACACTAAAAGAATTGACAAGTATGGACAGCCATCAAACAAAATGTTTTGAAACTAACTGCTGTTATAGTAAACAACTTACGAATATAGATTTTGAACTTTACTAAGAATACTTAATCTCTATCTTTAAACATACACTTGCTTACAAATATCATTTGTCGAACCAACAAAGTACACGAAAACTAAAATAAACTGTTACTAGGTAAGCTGTAAGTACATAAAACGTAGACGCGATCGTCGACAATTTTTATCGTGCAGTGATCGGCCGACTCCCGAGTAAAGCGCAGACCACACCCGTCCAACAGGCAGGACGTATTGCCACGGTAATATTATCTATACAGTATTCTATCTTCATACAAACGGTCGGAAAGCGTGTCATACCCACGCCACTCGAGTTCGCGCGGCACCCGGTGGGCATCCAGTCGCGAATGCGCCGCAGCGACGACCGAACGGTGTCAATTGTTTTTTAAGAAGTTAGCCGTGCTTAAACGTTTGTATTGTGAATATTTGATTGAATTAAGTAGATACCTACATAATTTAATATGGCAAAGAGCAATAGTCGATATTGTGTTGTTTTTAGTTTTCAATAATTAAACTTTTTATACGAATGCGTGTTTATTATACTATTCAATTTAATAATAAACCTTTTAAATATTTTTCTGTCGCAAATCTATATTTTCTTTATTAATATATTACACTTATAATAACATGTATTTTATGTAACACTTCCTAATTCATTCACAACATTTTTTTATATATGAAATAAAATATTTACAATCACAAAACTAGAAAGAAACTCAATTGTGTACATGAAATTAAAATACTGTAGGCGGGCAGCCCTACCGCGTGGATACGCCCCGCTCGGCCGTAGGCAGTTATTTCAAGAACAGGGCCGAGTCACAATTCTGTATCGATAATATTAGCGTGGTATTGCTAAAATCAACACTATGCATTGTGAACTTTGTAGTTTCGAGTCCTACTCTACTGCATTTAAAGATATTGTAAGGTTGATAGAATAGGATGAACTACGATGACGATATTTCGAAAGACAAATTTTACGAGTAGAGTCCCAGGGAAGTAATCGTTCGCTTCGCACCACTCGTGTCACTAACTTTAGGCTCTGTTCAAGGAAACAAGTACCTAAGTGGAGCGCTTTCTTTATGACGCAATCGCTTACTAAAGACAAGGAAGGAAAACAGCGTCATGTGTGAAAAGGGATGGTGATTAGAACTTATGACGCTGGTGCTGTGTTGTCCTTACTCCGGGAAATGACAGTTGGTAAGAATAGCTCGTTTCCGAAAATAGAGTATAGTAGAATCAAATCTAACTAACTTCACATTGAGAACCCAAATATTAACGGGACTAAATTAAAACGATAAGAAGAGCTGAAGGAAGGCTGACGTTCCGACTAATGTCAAATTCGCCTAACGGAAATGCTATGGAAAACGCTAACGCTTACGATTTCATTTTGTTATTTCTAGCCGCCTGAGGTTTTCAAATGCCTCGCGCTCTTTTTTTTCTTTTGCATTGGTAATAACAATATTAAAAAAAAAGAGCGTGAGGTATTTGGAAACCTTCGGCGGTCAGAAATAACAAAATAAAATCGATAGTGTTAGCGTTTTCCAAAGCATTTCCGTTAGGCGAATGGCCCCCAGACCCGATAAACGCAACACAACGAAGTTGCACCTTTAGGGATATGGGCTGATAACGCCCCGCTTATGTATATCTATTAAGCATTGAATTATTTTATTTAAAAATCAATTCGCTTAGCTTACATGGCTTCGCTTATCTCGCTCTTTAGTCTTCGCTCAGCTAGTTTCTTTAGATAAAACTAGTTTTTACGGGTTAATGCACGAAATTTTATTTATTTATTGACGTTTATGTGGTGGTAGTAGGTGGTAGTTTACGGTAGTTAGGGTCAAATAAATAAACTTAAAACTACAAAAAAGAATTTTAAATAAAATACTTTATTAAGTAAATTAAATAATAAATTCATACATAGACAATAAAACTTTAAAAATCGAACAATGAAATAACCGAACGCTCAATAAAAGTCTTTCGAAGGTAGCACGACAAATTAAATAAAAGTTTCATTCTGACGACGTAGCCTGTAAAGGCTACGAAACGTCAATGAATAAATAAAGTTTCGTGCATTAACCCGTAAAACTAGTTTAGTTTTATTTAATGAGTGATGTGCGTGAAAACCTAAGAAACAAATAGTTTCTTTAGCTCCCGGTGTGGCCTGCGCTTTAAGTTCAGCGTGTCGGATCAATGGATGCCGTCTAGGGCGATCAGCTGTTGCAACTTTAATCTGATGTTATTACTGGAGGCGGCAGGATACATTTTGCCACGGCGAAGTCGTCTACAGAATTGTTATCAATAAATGTACTGCTAAAGATCTCGCCCGTAGAGATATAGTCGACATATTTTACGTACATCTAATATATAAAATTCTCGTGTAACGGTGTGCGTAATTGAACTACTCCGTGATATTTTATATATGCATATTCAGTAGGTCTGAGAATCGGACAACATCTATTTTTCAAAACCCTAAATGTTAAGGGTGGTCCACCCTTATTTTTTTGCCATTTTTTTTTTGTTTTTATTTTTTTATGATACATCATACAAAAATACATACAACCCTAAATTTTCACCCTTCTACCACCAATCCCTATTTTTTTATGGCGGTCCGAACTACAAAGTTCGCTGGGTCAGCTAGTAAAATAATTATATAAAAGAGTTGGC